GGCTTTTAAATTTTTGAAATCGGTCCAGCCGTTTTTGAGAAAACGGCGATTTACGGCAAAAAATCTGTTGGTGCACACGCACACACACACACACACACATACTTTTTCCAAATTTGCTCTCATTCGATTCAGAATGGCTTGAAACGTCGAGAAAACATAAAATTAGCGAATCGGATTTTTTGATGAAAACATAAACTTCTTCTTCGGGAAGTTAATAAAGTCTAGTAATCGGACATAACATCAATAAAAAAACATGATTTTCTTTCAAAAATTTATTTAAAATCCATACGTTTCTTGTCTTTTCTGACGATATAAAGTTTAACATATAGATGTTAAATAGGAGAGAAATCAAAATCGAATCTTTTGGGATGCCCGTATATGATGTCCTTGAACCTATTAGACGATTCTTGTTTCTTATGTAACTTCTTTTTGAGAATATTATGATCCACATGATCATAGGCCTTTTCAATATCTGTCGTAACTAGTAGCACTTCTTTTTTATCTGACATTGCACTATATAGATCTACAAGTAGCTCGCTTAACAAGTCGATCGTACCTTTTCCTCTCCTAAAGCCGAATCGATATTTATTTAATATGCCATTTTTTTTCTATATACCATTGTAATCTTTTTTTAAAATACTTTTAAAGATTTTTGTGAGGTAAGGAAGAAGAAGTATTGGTCGATAGGACTTATGATCACTTGGATCCTTTTGCGGTTTTAGTATTGGTACTAACACCGCAATTTTCTAATCTTCCGGGATCCAACTTGAATTTAATATAGAGTTGAACATTTCAACTATTAGACACTTAAATACTTTGGGGCACTTAAATACTTTGGGGCAATCGTAATATATGTGATGTTATCAAATCCTGGTGAGCTGTTTTTTTTTTCCTTTTAGCGTCAGTTCCAGCTCATCATAAACAATGCGTCCTTCGATTTCTTGAACTGCATAGTCATCACTTGTTTCTTCCGATAGGTCTTGGCAATATTGTACGGGAGCAGGTACAAAGTCAGACTTGTAGATCTTCAGAATTGTCTCATAGAAATTATCACTCATTTACTGAATTGGGATCTCACTATTATTTTATTATTAAACCTTTTGATAATGTTCCATAATGTTTGCATTTCTGTTAATTCACGAATTCAAACCATTTTTCTCTCTTTTTTGTTTTAAATAATTTTCTAGTTTGTGATGTGATTTTTTGAAGCTCTAGAATTTTTATAGTTGAATTGAGCTTTTAGTCTCTTAATACATAATAAATAGTTAAATTATTTATTAACTTCCATAGGGTAAGTTATTGTAATCGTCCTAAAATCGAAAATGAAATTTTCTGCATATATTTACGTTTCAAAGGTTTCTGAACACTCTGGCATATCTTATAAAAATGGATGTATGTATGTGTGTATGCGTATGTATGGATACAATTCCTTCCTTTTTATGTGATTCAAAACATATTTAATTTGTATGGCGAAGACAGATCCAGCCGTTTCGAAGATACGGAGCTAAATGTGCAAGAAGAGTGGCATCTTTTGAGAGAACGAAGCATCTGATTTGAATAATTCAAAAAACCTTTTGCTTGTGTTGACGAAATGATAGTTTCTGCCAGCAAAAAAAAAAATCATATTAAAAAAATATATATATTTTCCAATTTCTTGCAATATCGAAAATGAATTGAATGTTATTTGAATTCTAGCTTAAATTCGAAAGCTTACTTATATACTTCAAACAAAATAATTTTAACTTAGCAATTTAGTGTACATAATTCTTATAAATATGAGATAAGATCGTTTATTCTAATTTCGCTTGATTAAGTTTTGGTTATTAACTTCCCGTAGGGTAAGTTATTGTAATGGGCCGAAAATCGAAATTGAAAATTTTTACATTTCTCGGCGTTTTGAAGGTTTCATTTTGGCATAACTCAGAAAAAATGGATGTGCGTGTGTGTGTATGTATGTATGTATGTATGGATACAAATTTCCAGTCACGTTTTCGGGCGCACGGTTCAACCGATTTGAATGGTTCAAAAAACATTCGATTCCTATCGATAGGGAAAAGAGCTGATTAGTTTTTGGCAAAGGCAAGTCCAGCCTTTTCGGGGATACGGAGCAAAGAGTGCAGAAAATATAAATCGAGTTTTTGAGTGAACGGAGCATCCGATTTGAATGATCTAAAAAACATTCAATTTGTAATGATTGGCAATGGCAGGCCCAGCCATTTCGAAGATACAGAGCTAAATGTGCAAAAATTGCAGTTTTTGAGAGAACTAAGCGTCCAATTTAAATGATTCAAAGAACTTTCAGCTTGTTTTAACAAAATAATTGATTTTGAAAAAAAAATTGTATCATTTTTTTTTGTATATCGAAAATAATTCAGATTTTATTTTTAATTCTGACTAAAGTTCTAATATACTTTAAACAAATAATTTTAACTTTGCAATTCAGTTTATATAATTCTTATAAATATTAGACAATGTTACAATATTTATAATAATCTATTTGAAAACATTCAAAATTCCTCGAACATTTCGTTACGGTACGGTAAGTTCCAGCAATTTGCCTTAAGGCACGATGCCATACACCCCACTAGTTTAGTTTGATGTTAACATTGTTTATAAGCCTTTATATTTTGTCTATAAATTGCGAATAATGAAAGTTATAATATTTATAATAACCTATTTGAAAGCATTTGAGAATCCTTGAATATTTTATTACGGTACGGAAGTTCCAGCAATTTGCTTTAAGGCACCACTATTTCCTTTTTATTTTGGCTATTTGGCAGCAAATAAATTGTGGGGAAATCAAGCAGGCTAGTGATTGTAAAAAAACAATTGGACTTGTCATTTAATTTATTCATTAATGTTTATAATCAATAAATTTTATATATTTTTATACAAGTGGAGTTTATACTTGCATATTCATAACTACTCCCACATTG